GGATGCAGGGATGCACACACGGGGATACAGGGATGCAGATACAGGGATGCAGGGATGCACACACAGGGATACAGGGATGCAGACACAGGGATGCAGGGATGCAGACACAGGGATGCAGGGATGCACACGCAGAGATGCAGGGATGCACACACAGGGGTGCACACACAGGGATGCAGGGATGCAGACGCAGGGATGCAGGGATGTGGACACAGGGATGCACACACAGGGATGCACACGCAGGGATGCACACACACACACACAGAGCAGTAGCACAGCCCGCCGCTGCTTTCCAGACCTTTCCGCATCCCACTCCATCAAGGAAACAGGACAAGCTTGTGTCAAGGTGTGTAGGATGAACCCGAGATGCTTGAACACAAAGGTAGGCTCGACTTAAACGAGGTTTGCTGCTTTCAACCCATTAAGTACCTTTTTCTGTGGTTGCCCAAGCAACAGAGGAGGCAGAGGGGGTGTTGTCCCATTTTTTTGCAAGCTGGCTGGGATCCGTTACATGACATTGTCCATTCTCGTGCCCAGAGGACTTGCATTATGTTTGAGAAAAAAAAAAAAAGGTTAAAAAAAAGGAAAAAAAATTAAAAAAAAAAGAAAAAATAAGAAAAAAAAATCCCTCTTTTGTACAGAGATATATTTTTATGAATCAAAAGTTTGTACAGTTAAAAAACACAATGTAAATGTTTTTTCATTATTGTAGTAAACAGTAGTGGAAGATCAGCTTTTTTTTTTTTTTTGTAAATGTAATAAAAATGTATAAATATGGTTTACATAAAAGTGTAAATATGTAATCTATACATACACCTGGCTTGTCTGCAGTATATACAGTTTAATTTATCTGTCTCTGTATATGAGGCTTTTCATTGTGTTCAGGCATACTTTACTGAATTTGAAAGCTATTTTAAATTTTTGAATTAAAATAAAATATAAATTTTTGCATTGCTTTTCTTACATTTTTTCTTTTTCCTGGTGCCTTTTTCGTCAGCTGCCAAAGGTTTCTTCACAGGGATGCTCGGGATCCACAAACGCACGCGTGGATGGCAGGGACCTCCTCGCCCTCACCTTCGGCCTCGCGTCGCGGAAGCACATCCCCAGTAGATGGTGGAGGACTCAGGCAAGACCAAACCCTCTCTTTCCTCATTGCCAGGCTTTTCCTTCCCTCCCCATGCTGCTGAGGCTCATCCACAGGGACCTTTCCTGCTCCAACATCTGCCCGTGGTCCCTTTTGGTGCTGTGATGATTTCCAGCTGTGGTCCCCCCCCAGCAGCAAGGAACCGGTGCTTGCTCTGCTGCACTCATGGCTCCTCCATCGCAGCACAGCCCCTCTGGAAACAGGTACTTGAGCAGGGTCCTCAAGGAAGCAAACAAAACCCTTGAAGTCGTGATTTATTTCTCAACATCGCTACCGAAAATAGAGCACAACTGCCCAAAGTGGGACCGACTGCTGGTAACGTCTGTGTTGATCCAGGGCTGGGGCTGAATTCACGTTGCTTTTAAAGCTGGAAAGTAATTTGGCAGAGAATTTTCTAGTTGGAAAGGGGCGTTGAACGCGCTGTTATGTGTCTCCTGTCGTGCTTTCCAGTGGTGTTTGAGGTTGCTGAGTTTTTCAGTGTTCGATAGCTGCATTTTCATTTCTGGTGTCCTTGGTTTAGAGTGTTCTTGCTCTGACCTGGGTTAAGTTTTGTTGTAGGGGTTCCCACATTGGTGGTTTCCTACTGCGATGCTGACTCAAGTCTTAACGCCTTCTTCTATGGAGTGGGGTAGATGTCACCTCACCACAGCCCAGATGGGAACCATAACCTTCTGATGACAGAAGGGAGCTTAAAGCATCCCATGGACATCCCTGTGCAGCTCAGCACCTGAATTTGGGATGCTGGGCAGGGTCCTTTTGGCTCGGTGCTGCCTCGATGGCCAAGGTCAGGAAGATGGGACTGATGCTGCATCCCCGTGGGGTGACAGCCTCTGTCCCCATCCGGTCCCTTCTCCCCTCCTCTGGCTGGGACTCCGAGGTTTTGGAGCTTAAAAGCCGAGGCTGTAAAATGAGA